CTCGACAGGGCCTGCGAGCGGAAATCCTCCTTCAGATCCCTCCTCGATTTCCGCCCTCACTAAGACATCTATTAGCCCCGTCAGGGTCTCCGTCTAACGCACTGATGATCGCTGTGATGCCGTCCTTCCACCCTGGCATGCGCTTCAGGAATTGTGAACATTCCCATATCCTCAACACGTCGTCGTCCTGGCCGATGATAACGCAGCTTTTTTCGCTGGCTGTCAACTTTTTGGGCCCAGCAAGCCCGGATAAACGCTCGCTAAAGTTGTCCGCCGCAGACTGGTGCCATTTGCGCATTTTCTTGCTCTTCACCACCATCTGGATCCTGCTGCCGCACCAACATGCTTCTTCGGCTTCCCCTTGGCCTCCACGGCGTTGACACGGCCCGTGGATTTGGGACAACCCGAAAAGCGTACGATTGCTACCCCTCTCGGTGAGACGCATCTGCGTCTCCAACTCGGCCCGGTGATAGAAGCGGTTGTAGAGTGCCGCACACCTGACGGCTAGGTATCCCTTATTCGGCGGCAATTTTTGAAATTTCTCGCACGGAAACGCTGTGTGGTTCTCCGGTCTTATCACGTCGCCGAGATTGCCCACAAATAGGGGCACCGCATTGATTCCCCGAGCGTAGGCTGGCCAATCTCCGCAGCTGGCGTCGAGATGCACCTCGCGAGCGTAAAAGGTCGTTACTGTGTCTTCAGCGACTTCGGTATACTCCCACCCGCGAAGATGCCGCGGTCCTAACGGCCATTTAATCGGAATAAAGAACTGCGTGTCCGTTTTCTCGTAGAGGTGCGCCTGGAAGGCGTTAAGAAGGTGGTAAAACTTGGCTACCACTCTCTCGAAGTAGACCTTTTCCGTACCAGGCGTTTTGTTCGGGTTGGCCGTGCGATAAACCTTCCCTTCGTTGTCTTGCATCGCAGTCCTCACCTTATCGGACTTTCCAGGCTGGGCAGGCTTGAGGACATCCCGCTCGCCCAGCTTTGAGCGACTCGTCTCCCATATTTGGCGCCGGTGGAGGAGCATATGCAGGCATGCCTCCT